TGCTCTCTGCTGGGCCACGCTGATTTCTGGCCTGTCTTCAAAAGTGGCTCCTTGCCAGTCAACCGAGAGCTCGCTATAACCTGATGGCGCTGTAAGATCTCACTTACAGGCACTCTTAAAAAGATGCCTGCGTGTATAATGATTCAATATGCTACAATTCAATTAATCGGTGTGGCCGAGATGATTTGTATAAGGATGTGCAGCCCCTCTGTAACTCTGCTGCTGGATGAGAGCTGGCGACCAGATCACCCCACCTGGGATGTGAGAGCACAGAAGTACAGTACAGCATATTCTTGGTTCTTTCGGTAAAGTCACGTAGAAGGGAAACAATAAAATAATAAAAATATAAAACAATAATTATAATTTTGTTTCCCTTCTACGTGACTTTACCGAAAGAACCAAGAATATGAATCCCTGCAGTCACGAAAGCTTTAAATCAAAATTTACAGTACAGCAATTAACTTATCTGTGCTGTCCTGTGCTGCCCACAATTAGCCCCACATCCTATAAGACCTGTTATTTATGGCGGTCGCCAATGCAGCCACTACCCTTGCTCAACCCCTGCTGAGCATCTGAACTGTGACGAGAATGGGGCGCTCTCCGAGTGATTCGGTCAAAAAAATGACGATACACCGGCAATAATATCAAATCATGAGCATTATACAAGGAACGTCTTATGCTTTGTGCGCGCGTGCTCTAAAAGAAACACGAAGCACGGCTTTGGTTCATCCTTCCGCGGCTCCGCTCGATGCCAGCCTCCTCAGAAGAGCACGAGATCAGCAGAGTTGGAACCCATTTCCATTTCAAAGCCAGGAAGGAGCTCAATCGCTGTCGCTGACGCAAACCCAATCCGATGACGACTTTGCACTTCTTTCTCACTGCACCCCCTCCCCCGCTGGCGGATTTAAATACACGTACACATTGTCCTTTTGTTGTTGTACTCCTCCACGCTCCCTCCCTCACCCTCCTTCCTCTTTGCCCGCAGCGTCCCGCGCGCTATTTATGGGCGATTATGCGTGCACCGCGTGGCTAAATACGGCACGAGATCTCCGTGGGTGGCGATTAACGGATGCGCTTCCTGCGGCTATTGCGGGCACAAGAGGGGCGCGCGCTGTCTTGGCCTGAACACGGCCCCGCAAGCCGCCGCGTGTTACGCCGCGCGATGCCCTTCGTCGCCGTGCCACATTTATTATTCCGTTCGTTTGTCGCGGAGAACTTTGCCCAAACTAATCGCGGTGGCCTCGTGGCCGTTATTCATTTGAGCGCCGATAGCTCGGGGCTGCGACGCGGGCAACTGAGAGCAGGAACGAGAGCGCGGACGATTAGAACTCGCTTCTTAAAAATCGTTACAGGTCATACAGCAACCTGGGGGTGGGGGGGGGGGGAGGTGATTGGGAGGGAGTTGCAAAGCTGGCATCAAGGGAGCACTATCAAAGTGCACAGGGTTACAGGAACCCAATTGTTACCTTTGACAATAAAATTCGTCTAATTATTAATATAAGAACATGGGAAAAAGATGTCATGGAAGGGAATACCAAATCCAGCATCAGACAGCTCTGACGATACGACACCAGATCCCGAGTAAAGGTGGAACCACGTGTTAACATTGACCCAACGTTGCATGCTTGCTCAGTAAAGAACTACCAGAGTTCTTGAATGGATTCAGGTTATAAGAAACTGGGGAAAAGCAGTGACGGGAGAAAGTTCCAAAGTCTAAGCGAGCAAGGAAAAGATGAGGACAAGTCCGAATCGGAATCTTGATTTATCCTGGAGAAATCCGATGAGCTACGAAGCCCTTGTTCACAGATGACCAGTTGGGGCGGATCAAAAGTTATTCTCTGGGCTACAACAGCATAGTGTTCTCGGCTTCTCAGAAGTTCACACCTCTTTTCCCACACCCCAAGGTGTACGAAGTCAACGGTTCGATTCCTGGTAACGTATGCAGGGTTTAACCAAAGCACAACACTCGGCACATTCGCCAACGGCACTGCCTTATTTGCTGTGAAGGGGAGGGAGGGGAGAGGGCATTGCACGAAACGTCACCTATTACAACACCTTAATATGACCGCTTCACACAAGCATGCCTTCTTGCTCTCAATTCGTGTCCATTAAAGGCTCCCATTTTATGATTTGAGAATGTGAGCTCTTGCCTGTGGTACGGTCCACATAACTTGAGAGGGGATCCACAAATGAATAGTAAAAATGTTAAAAAAAACACAGCGGTCCCCCGTGTAGACATGGCACGGCCCTGCGCAATAAATAAATAAATAGCTATTCAACCAAACAAATTGAGCGGTGAATTGAATTTCTGCCAAGTGCTCTACAGTGAATCTCCCATTGGGTAGCGGAGTGCACGCAGTGAATTTCTCCACTGCCGTCATCATCATTAACGCCGCCTTTTAAATCGACAATACAAAACATGCAATAAGCTAACCCATTAAGTACGTAAAGATTCACTGATTAAAATTGAGTCTTACGCTTAATGGTACAAGCCATCGGAGTCTTGCATATCAGAAGACATTATTTACAATTAAAGCTCATTATAGTATTTGACAATGTATGTTCAACCTAATGGAACAAACTAGACAGAATACATTACAGAGACAACAGAAATGAACTAAACAAACGCATCTTGAAGCATAATCCTGCATCGTGACAATTCAAAGAATGCCAGGAAGGGAAAAATCATTAAACGCCATTGCTTCCTATCCAGCTCAAATTCGTGAGGTTCTACCATAGGCATTCTGATGAAGCTACGACTAACGATCACCCACAGTATTTCCGCTGTCCATTTCGCAATCCGGGTGGAGCGGTGGCGCAGCAGTTACAGGACACTGCGCGATATGAACCATGTCACATGAGTCCGGTTCTTGCCTGCAGCTGCACATCAGTGGCAAGTAATATCCGAACCAATTCTGGGCCAACATCTCCTTCACCAACCCGCACCCGCACGAAGCACCAGTATTGGTAGCAGTATGGTTGGTCAAACAACCATCAAGACCGACACAGCATGGGTAGGGGCCTTACAATCCAGTGCTTGTATTGACGAACGGCTGTAAATGATAATCGTAGTTTTACGCTTGTGAGGTTGTGCAATAGTCATTGAGATGGATTCACACAACAGCAGTCCCGATTTTCATCCCCCCCCCCCCCCCACACAGTATGTCCATGGGCACAGCCCTGCTCAGAGCCCCCCAGTACTCGTCTTCAAACAACCTGGAGGCAAAGCCAACGCTCGGGGGGGGCGGGGGCATGAGAGTGGCGAGAGAACCAATCAGAGTCCAGGATGAAAATGGCCAAATTTATTATAGAGCTTTCGACAAACGCAAAAAAAACACAAACATCTACTGCCACTATATATATTTTTACCAGGTAAGGCACACTGAGCTATATAGCTCTTTTTCAGAAGCGACCTGGCTATCACAAACGATAGCTCGACGACCTGGCTTATCACGTGCAAATTTTATCGCAGCCAAAAACTCTAAACGCATGCTTCTAATCGTGGAGGGGAAAACCGGAGGACCCGGAGAAAAATCCATGCAACCATGGGGAGAACACGCAAACTCCAATTATAGAGGCATCAGGGTCGTGATCAAACCCTTGACTACCTGCATACCGGGCGAGGTAGTTAACATCTCGCCACCGCGGCGGCTATGCAAATCTCACTCGCGTATGCTCAGCCGTCGGGGATTATCAAGCGCAGGGAAGACTTACGCAACGGCGAGCCTGCTCTTGACTCAGCAATTAAAGCTGTTGCTGCAGCCAAGAGATGAAGCGAGATTGGGGGGGGGGGGGTAGTGAGGGGTTGTCTGGCTTCGGACTTTATTTTCTTTGGGGGACATTCACGCCTCGCTGTTGGTGCCTCTTGCTATGCAGATCAGTGCCGTGCTGAATCGTGCCGGGGCCATCACTCGTAATGCTGGTCACTAACTCCACGAATGGTAGACAAGAGGCAAAGTAGGCCGTATAGTCTGTTGGGGCAAATTCGGTTAGCGAGCACCTATTAAGGCCAGCATGGTGCACAAGGCGGTGTGTGCGCATGTGTGCGTGTGTGGGCAAACTCTTAAGGGGAGCGGTAGTTGCGTGGTTTAGCGCACTGTACAGCATTGGTGATGAATATCTGAACGAGTCCTGGGCCTCCCCTAGGTTGACTGAGCCTTAAATGGGCAACCTAACCTAGTGCGGTGTTTAATCACCAGAAATGGGAAGACAACGGCGGCCGGCCGTGGTGCTGGCTACTCACCTCCTTGCGTCCCATGCCAGCGTTAATAGGCGCCCGCTGGCAGCACTTGCCCCAAGAGTCTGTTAAAGGCTACACGGGGGATCTTTGTATTTTTTATCTTTGTGCAAACTCACCCTTGAGTGCCCAGCTCACCCCACAACAACAAAACACGACCGGTGATAATTGATGATCGTTAACCCTCCCACTTTAGGGAATCGTTGCCACTAAGCTCCACGGATTTAAACTTTCATACGCGCTTTAATACGTTAATAATAACGATGAGGTACACGGAGGAGTTCATTAGTGCGGGGGCATCCTCTCGCCCAACGTGTATTTTACACGGACAAAATTCTGCGCGAGGATACATTTGTTTACAAGCGAGCAGGTCAAACATTGCATCAAAGAGGAAGGAAATACCTTCACCACCACTGACATTAACATCCACCGCCTTACGCAATGAAAATTAGAAAAAAACGCTTAACGTTTTCACGGTGTTGGTGGCTCTTTTCTCTGCTCCTACTACACATACTGCCACCCTGCTGTAAGTCTGTAAGTTAACAGGGCGGTGTTTGCTTATCATGCCAGGGGCTGCTATCAATGCCACTCCCAACACAATCCCTGGCGCTTTATTCAAAAGTGTTTGCAGAGCACGTCGGCTGCCTCCGTTCGCCCGACTCGGTGGAACACCACGAACCTTCGCCAACATTTACGGGGACCTCTCCATCAACCCACGCACAAAGGTCACTCCCTAATCAAAAACGCCGAAACCTCTACTCACCTGGACTTCCGAAGCCCGTCAAACGAGCTGACCGTGTGGTGTTTCAGCAGTCGCTTGGTTTTGTCTTCTGCAAAACGAAAAGGAAAGAAAAAACACTTCAATTGAAAGACGAATCCACTGTGCCATGAGGATAACCTCCTTGCAAGTAAATAATAAATGGAAGCCGGGGGGCACTGTCCCGGGGAAAGGAAGGGAGCCTGTGTGCCGCTACCGATCGCGAGCTGGGTAATCGGGGCCACGGGCTGAGAGAGGCTCTGGCCGTGATTTGCTGGCCCCAACGACGCACGCTGCACGTGGCTCACGCGCGGCAGCGGGCGCCGAGCGGACAAACGTTTACGCGCGCGCGCGATAGTTCTCGAGAAGGTAAACCTCTGCCCTCGTGGGAGACGCTCGATGGCGGGACATGCAACCGAATGCGCTTCTCCCGACCGGGTAGGCTGCTTTGCAAGAAGCAGTCTGTAAATACACCCAATCCCCTCCCCCACTCCTTGCGTTTCATGCGATCGCGAGTGCACGCACGCATGCTTTCTCACCCCCACATCGGCTCCCGCCGCACGTGGACACCCCCTCGGCCCCTTGCTGCTAGTCTCCCGTACTCCAGCTTCCAGCCCTGAACCTCAAAGTGCCACCACCCCCCCCCCCCGACAACCCTTTTCCTCCGTGGAGTCCCGTTTCCCTCGCCTCAACACTTGCAGGCGCACGATTTTGCGCGCTTGCCTGCACGCCCGCCGGCATTGTTGGCAGTGTTTGCAAACGCCGAATTAAAAGCGTGTTACGATAGCAGCTCTGCCGCCAGTCCCAGCAACCGTGCCCAGGAGAGAATGAAAGCTGCCAAATTGAAGGCAGTGGGAGGGGGGGGGGATGAGCAGAAAAGAATGGTCGCCCAGAACCAGAGTGGGGTGGAGCAAGCCTGGACGGAATAAAAAAAATGGAAATCGTCCAGAATTCACACGAAGCTGAAAAGTGTCTGCATGCCTGTTAACCCCTTATCAGTGCTGCCTACCTTCTTCCAGACCGATTCAGACCTTTTTGGTCACCCCGTGCCCCTTATAAATCACAACGTTCATCCCACAAAGTCCCGTCACAAGGGAGAAACACAAACAAAAAGAAAAAAAATGTTGTGCCCGCATTGAAACGACTGTACGCCCATATGGGCCTGAAAACTCAATTTCCCTGTACAAGAATCCGGGTAAACCGCATGGGTTGACAGGTATGTGTCTGCTGCAAACCGGTGCTCTGGCTGAACGTTCACGAACTTGGCCAAGACACCGGTGGGCAAAAGCGAGGTCTGTGCCGCCGCACGGCTGTCACTGGAGCGCCGTTTTTAATGTGCTTGTTGTGTAGCCGAGTACAGGGAACACGTTGGTTATACGAGGACACAATTCAAAGGGACAGTTTTTTTGCACGGCGTGCGAAACGTTGTTTGCTGCAACCCGCAGAAATGCTGGACCTACCGTAGCCACAAACAACAATGGACCTAACACCAAGGCATGTTCCGTGTCCCTTAGAGTTTCACGTCGTGCCTTCCTGTGGCTCTGTCCATCGCTCAAAAACTGGGAGCAGAGGTTGTGTGTGTGTGTGTGTTTTTTTTAAAGCTGTGTGTCTCACATGGCCTCAAATACACATAAAATAATGACGTAAAATGTGGCCCTGCACTTAAATATTCATTTGACCGGCATGCGTCAAAACATTGCCCTCGCGTGCAGAGTGGCTGCGAAAAGTGCTGCCCTCTACTCTGTGCACCAGAGGTCAACTTGAAGAAGCAATCTTGGAGGTAGATCTGTGACATCCGCTTCCACGGGCCGTTCTCTAACACGAAGGGTTGCGCTGCTGTGCGAGAAATGCCAACGGGTGGTTCGTCTCGCGACAAGCCGCCGCCAGCACAACCACGATAAAAACAATTAGAGCAAATGATGACGACAACAGCAGCAGCAGCAGCAGCAGGAGAGGTTGCGTCTCACCGTGTACCGCTTGTGTTTGTCTCAGCTGCACCTCCCGCACGCAATGGCTCGGGAACCACCCTCGCCTGCCTTCAGAGATGCCCTCCCACATGCCCGCCTCCCCGACTGTAAGCACTGCCAGGGAAAGAGGGAAGCGCATGATAATCAACAATAATAATATAATAATTTCGTACATTTGGGGGTTCGCGACTCAAGGTTATCACGCGCACGCAGTGTTTCATATTCCGTGGCTTCCAGTTGGGGGCGAATTCGCCGTGTGGTTCAATTCCAATTAAGTAATTTTGTCATTTTTTTAACAAGTTTGGCAACTTTTGACCGTGCCACCTGCACAGACGGCGTCACGGGATCTTTAACGTCCACTTCGAAGCAAGCGGTGTTCATTCACAGTTAATACACCTACAGCGTTAACCTGGATGGACGCTGGGTTGGAACCTCTGGAATTTTATCATTACTTTAAAACCGCGTTTTTGTGTTACGTTTGTTGTCCTTCCCCTGCACCTCCAATTAGCACGGCTGGCTACGTACGGTGTGAAAGAAGTTCAACATACATACATAAGAGGCGATCGGGCGACTGCTTGGGAAAGATCACACCAACATTGCGAAACACAACCGGTCCACAATGTTTAGCACACCCCATGGCAGCTTTTACTTTGCACAACTCGTCGATTTGATTTTGTAACTTGGGGCAGGGTGGTGGAGCAATGGCTTAGTGTGCTTGCGCTATCCACCCAGTGGCACGTTCCCAATTCTCGGCCACCGCTAGCGTCAGTCGTCATATCTGAGCCGGTTCTAGGTACCCCTTCCTTCATCAACCTCCACCGACAAGTGGAGTGAAATATGCTCAAACAATCCGTTGTGGCCACCACAGGACAGTAAGGATGACTTCATCCGGTATGAGCTGTATCGCTGGCTGTATATGTTTTTTTTAAGGACTGAGTAACTTGAACCATTAATTCAGCAATAAAACAGAGTTGTTCATTCTTCTAAATCAAACCCGAATTCCTATGCTTCCTCAAAACCGTCCTCGCATTCTCGGGGCATTAGAGGCCCAAAAACGAAACACGCGATACGCGCACATACGCGATGTGATTTTCTTTTTTTTTTTACAGCCTCTTAAATATTTAATGGAAAACACCCAAACCACTTTGTTAATATTCCGTTACAAACGGCTCAAATGCGCTTCCGAGATGCGCTCGCCATCGGCAAAGCCCACCGGGGGGGGGGGGGGGGGGGGGTTGTCGGTCTTGAGCAAATTAAAAAAAAAGACCGTGAAATAAAGGAGGGCCCCCCCCCGAGTCTCTGGAGGTGAACGTCGCGTGCCCTGTGCCAAAGCAATGAACCCGGCGCCAGGTTCAAATCCCTGGCTGCCTCCCGAGATAAAGCCAGGTTCTCGTGTGTGGCGAGTTTGATGGTGTCAGGGCGGTCACCAAAGGCGGCAAGAAGTGAATAAAAAAAGAAAAGCCAAAAAAAACCGCTCAACTGAATGAAATTTGGCACTTGATTCAGTACAGCCCAACTCTGACGACTTGGAATGAATACCTCGTGTGTATATCTATATCTGCATACACGTGCACAACATCCAGTGGCCGTCTCTTAGCCACACGAAAACACCCCGGGTGTATATGGACTCCCACAACAGCCACAGGGGCTGTGCCCCTGTCCGCACAGCATATGAAAAGGGCCACCCAAAGGATTCTGGGACAGGAGGGCAGCCAATAGCATTGCATTCAGTGGTCGAGTTATATATTTATATATTTCCTCGAATGATTCACTACGGCATATAATAGGGTTCTCCCCATTAGAAGTCACTTTTTGTTGGCTCCTTTGGGGCCATTTCGTTTCATGCTGCAAGGCTCTTGCTGCCCATAGGGGCTATTTAGTATCCTAATTACTTCTTTGCTCGATATTCTGGTGGCAATAGGACGATGGGGAAGTACTTAGCGTGCGAATAATAATAAACAATGCGACTTAAAGCCCATCCAAATGTGTAAAAGATCAAAATCGATCCTTACAAAAGACAACATTTAAAAAAAAAATCCTACATTGCATTTCATCTGTGACCAAATCACCCACAAATGGCACCCGATCTCATGAGATCTCGGAAGTCAAGCAGAGTTGAACCTGAACAGTGATGTCACGTGTGATCACCGTGCATTACAGCTTGTTACGGGTTGCAGGGCGATGTGGTGAGCAGCAGAGAGGGCAGTGCATCAACATCCGTTGTTGTACTGTACTGCTATGCAGTACTCCCACGTCTATGCTCCCTGCTTTGTCGACGCACCGATGAACGTCGACCCCTAAAACTTTAGAAAAAAGCGACCAAATCGCGTGGGCAAGAATTCACATTTATACGCTTGTACTTGTATGTTATGACGGCTTACGTTATCACTGCGGCCACTGGAGGTGCTACCACCATTCGCAGCAATTAAAAAAAAACACAATTATTGAATCAAATCATGACCCTGAACAGGAACAATTTGTGCTGGTGGCCCAGAACGTTGAATCACCCAACCTTGTACGGGAAAATTGTACTCCGGTTTCCAATTTTAGACTGTTACGTTACTGTACTGTCACTTCAAGATGTTTTCCTTGTTCGTGTTTTTGTTTTTTCGTTTGTTGCGGTTGCACCCGATTCAAGAGCCAAATGGCTCACAGGGCTATACCAAAATAAATAAACCGAAAATAAACTGAAACCGTGCAACGCAGTAATTTGTACGTATACAAGTGGGCATGAAGCGCCAGATGTTTGCCCTGGCAGTTCGGCGTTTCATCTCAGGTTACGGTTCAATCTTAACAAACAGCCGACATCCCTTTGTGAGTCCGCTCCCGGATGAAGGCCCTCCCCATGCTGTTATGGTCACAGGCGTTGCGTGGCCACGGTTCACCGTGCTGGTCAGTGCGGGTTGATGTTGTTGTAGGTTCGGGGAATCGTTTGGCTGGCACGGCCCGTTGAAGCTAAGCAGCTCCTTTCACAAGGACGATCGCAGCCCAAGACCGGTTTCAGGTATCACCTCGTCCACCGGTGTTCACCATGGGTGAAAGGGTCACTGTGGTCAGAGTGTGCAGAGCGCAAAAGAAAAAGGCACTGTGCCACTGCTCCCTCCGGGTCTTAGGCTTTGCTTGCTGTAAAATACAATGCTCCTGCTCCCTGTGACAATTAAGCAGAGCAACAATTAAAATAAAGGTCCTCTCTTTTACCTTTTTATCACTACGTAGAGGTTATTTATCATTTGCACACGTGCATTAATGAGTTCAAGCGATCTGCGTAAAACTTTTTTGTGTATTTTAAATGATGAAAATAAAAATATCAAGAATAATTGTATCATCCTTGGTTTGTTAACCAAAATAGGCTCTGTGCAGGGAAAAATCCTGCCAATTAGCCGCAATGAATAGGGCATTTGGAGCTGGGTAATTGCAATGATTGTAATTTAATGCAAAAAATATGCCAAGATTAAATGATAATTGTCCGTAATGTATTGCGAGTGCCATTTGCAGTAATAGCTTTGACCCCCATATGTACCTTTTCAATTCTAATTTTCAATTTTCTCGTCACTTTTCCAATGCGATGGCAAACGAGGAATGGCATTTTTTGGGGAGGAAACCGGGAACACATTCCCCGGGAAAGATTAGCTCAAAAACGCCGACACACCCGGCAAACCCACGCACACACCCACACGCCTGCACACGCACTATTATTAAGGCCGTGTTGTTTTTTTATGTTCTGGGTGGGGGGTTCATCACGGGCGGCCGTGATCAACTCTCGACAAAAACGTTCTGGGAGTCAACCGGCGATGCGCAATTTTTTTCTTGTGCCGCAGCATCGGCATGGAGGGGGGCCTTGCCGACGCATCTGCTTTGGCACAACGGTCCGAACCCGCAACGAATCAGAGAGGTTTTTATTTGTTTTTGGCACACGGTTATTTTCCAAGAAAAATGCAAACCAGACAGGATTCCCCCTTTCTGCGTGTCTGCAAAATAAAGCGGAATGTTCGGCAGGTTTCAAAACAGCAATGTCGAGGCAGCTGCAGTGGCAAAAAAAACGGCTGTTGATAAATATCGTCCCTATCGGAAAATAAATTCAGAATTGGATAAATCCTTGATCACTAATTCGGTCAATAAAGTTATATGTACCGGTCTATTTGCAAACAACAAAAGCTAACACCTCAAAAGAAGCCTGCTTGGAACGTCCAAAACTGTAAATATATTTATTTATTCATGCACATGCCAGTTATTTAATTATCAAATGCTCGCATCTCCCTCTCGCCCAACTCGCATCCCCGCTCAGTGAGTGCAAAATTCCCTGGAGCAGTCATTAAAGTGCGTGACACTGCTGTCAGTACTTCCTGCAACTGCTCTGGGGAGACTGCCTCACTACAAGGAGCAGTAAACCACCATGCGAACTCCGGTCATCCTCGCAGCGGCTTTTGGCTAAACAGTCGAACAAAGACGGTCACCTCATCGCTCGCTTTCAGATGTGCTTCTGCGGCCGTCTGGAACGCTCTTCCTACTGATAAGAGGAAGCCACTGGAGCTGTGCACCTTTAAACCTTGATTGAAAACTCATTTCCTTAGAACTGCTTTTCGTTGTCCTTCCCCCCCGCACCACCATTAGCACGGTTGGCTACGTACGGTGCGAAAGAAGTCCAACGTACGGTACACACACACACGCACACACGCACATCCCCTCGCTTCTACTCAAACTGCCTTCCACGAGCACATCCTCTGGATGCAGCCGCCGGCGCAAATCACCGCGCTTCGTCTGCATCGCGCTCACGAGCGAGCGCAATTGCGTTAGCATCGGACGCCGATCACCATAATCAATAGGCCATGAGCGTCTGAATAATAACTGTCACATTGCCCTGACGAATGCGAGCTCTTGGCTCGTGCAGCTTGGTTGGAAGAGCGCAGCGACAGTTGCGTCTGCGCGTGACTCCAGACCCCAGGGCGTGTGGGATCACGGCTACAGAGGCGAAAGAAAATAATTCCCAGTGCCAATTATGCCAGGTTTACTCAATTTTGAATAAATAAACCACGCACATTAATTATGACCCAATATGAATTGCAAATTCAAAGACGATGGCGCTTATCAAGCTCAAGGCAAACAAAGCACTTTTTTGTTCAAGTATTTTTTTCTTTCTCCTTTCTCCTTGGACTGACACACGGGCTAGGAAGTTGACATACCCTGGTACATATCGATATCAGGACTGCCCACCCAGGCTGCAGTGCACATTGCCTGTCCGTATGTGTCTTTGCATACATGTGTTGTCGGGAGCGGTAGTTTAGTGGTTAGCACACTGAGCTACAGGCCCCGGCGGCCTGTGTTCAATTCCCGCTCATGTCCAATATTGTGTTGTGAATATCTGAACCAGTCCCGGGCCTCGTCTAGGCCGGCTCAGCCTTAAATAAGTATCTGGTGCTGTGTGTAGATAAGAAACTAAGGGGGTGTTGCTGGCCACCCACTTCCTTGTATGCCATGCCGGTCTTCAAAAGTTGCTCGCCATCAGCACTTCCCCCCCAACATTCTGTTAAAGGCTACATGGGGATCACATGGACACATATGAGTGTGTGTGATAATGATGGCACAATAATGGGGAGAGGTAGTTGCAGCGGTTAGCGCGCTGCACTACGAAGCTGGTGACCCGAGATCGATTCCCGCTCATGACCAACACCAGTGGCAAATATTTGCATCGGTCATAGGCCTCCTCTAGATTGGTGCAGTGTGTAAACAACACCACTGGGGAGACAAAGGTGGCCGGGCGTGGGGGTTGACTACCCACCCCCTCGTGTGCCGTGCCGGCCTTTATAGGTGCTCACTACCAACGCTTGCCCCAACGGCTATGTCTTTGTATTTGCAATAGTTGCCACACTACACTATGCCGCACCACACTATGCCACACTACACTATGCCCCACTACACGATGCCGCACTACACTATGCACAGCTTGTTTCCCGGTCAGGGATAACATGAGTGGCGAATGACATGTGATCTGGACCTTCCGTAGGTTGACTTATTCTTTAACTGTCGGTAGTTAAATATATTGGCGGGTTGGTGAATATGGGGAGCATTGAATTATAGCCTCGTGCAAGAATAGGTTGTTTTATTGTTGTCCTGCCCACTACTGTTGCCCACCTCATCCCTATATTGGTGTGTGCGTGTGTGAGATCGCATATAATCGCGAATAGTCAATTGTTACGCGCAAGATTTGACTCTCGTGTTTCGCAGGTACGTGAAATGGACTTCAAGTGACGAATCTTTACAAACGGCAGCTGCGGCGAATCGGAGCTGATTCTCGCTGCTCATTAACGATGTGCACAGTGCGCCTTGTAGACAATGCAGATGTTGCACAGCTTCAAGATCGTGAAGCCGAAAATAAAATAAATAAAAACGCAAATAACCTGTCCGGCTGAGAAACATCAGCAACTTCAAGCTTACATAACGGCGCCGTTGGAATATGTTTGCAACCTATGAATGCATGTGCGTACAAATAAACACACAGTGCCATCTTCGAGCAACGAAATGATAACATGACACGCGGTGCACACACATCGTGCGGGGCAAAGACAAAACATTTCACGAGCAAGACGCACGCACACAAGACGCGCGCATACCTCACCCCCCACCTTAAGCACGAGGCCCACATTCAATCCAGCAACATTGCAAGGACATCGCCCACTTCATATGCAGGCCTGGCGCTCATCCTTAATGCACCGATCGCATCACCGAACAGCGCGACGGCTACACGGGCGGAGCAAACGTAAAAAAAAAATACTCATTTATCAATTCTGGCTTTCGCCTGATGAGGCTGGTTGTAATTACCGGCGATACGTCGTGACTCGAATTGTAAATGCCGTGGGTTTACTCTCCAACACACCGGTGTTGCTGTACTAGTAACGAATCGGCGCTTTTTGTTTCCGTGACAAACCTTAGTCGTTGGCTGTGTCGGCTGGCGGCGGGTTTAACGACGCACTTATATGTTTACGCGACGGCACCCCAAAAAAAAAAAGATCTCTGTTGCCAAGAATATATCACTCGCAATTTGAATGCTTGAGCATTGTGCGCGCACGCATTTGCTTGTTTTCATATATTTCATGAACGAGTGACGCTTCAACAACGATGGCCGCGACAAGAGTGAGGAGGACAAACCGTGGACCAAGTCTCCCATGGCGAGAGGGATTTCTCCACCCCGCCGGGGCCGATAGGCCTGCTGAACGGCATACGTGCGCCCTGGCAGGGTGTTGTCCAAGTTGCGCTGGCAGCTATGCTTGGGACACGATCTGTAGCCAGAATAAAAAAGAATTGCACACACGCACCCACACACACACACACACCCGCACACACACGCACACGTCCGCACACACACACGCACACACACACGCACACACACGCAAAGGTAAAGATCTCCCAGTTATCCCGAGCCACTGCTGAGGGCAAGTGCTGTTTTGTGAGCACCTTATTCAAGGGGACACTCACACAGCTACAGTTACACACGCACAGATATACACACGCAGACATTTACACACGTGCAAGTAAAATACACACATGTAAATCCAATATAACAGACTGTCGGGTTAAGTACTGTTTAAGAGCATCTATTAAAACGCGACACACACACCTTTACAAAGACACCCCATATAGTCTTAATAGACTGTTGGGGAAGATGCTATTAGTGAGCACTTATTAAAGCCAACACAAGCAACTACACAAATACACACACATAGACGTGGGCACAAACTCTTACACACATATGCAAATAAAGTAAATATATGTATCGAACATAGCGAGCATCTATTACGTCCGGCATGGCGCATGAGGGGTGGTATGGCCCGAAACCACGCCCGACCACCTTTGTTTCCCCAGTCGCGATGTTTTACACATCGCACCAGGCGTTCACGTTTAACGCCGAGTCGAATAAGTGGAGGTGCAAGAGCCGATCAGAAAATCGCCACTGATGTTAGCCGTGGGTGGACAAACTGCGCTCGGGTCGTTAGGTTCACAGCGCAGTGTGTTCTAACCACCACTGTCTCCTGTGCAATATTGAGAGCAACACTTGCAAATAATAAAAAAATAATCACGTTTCGCTTGCACGATTTGCCATGAATGCATGACAATTGAAAATGAAAATGCGGAATTTTATTGGATTTTAATGGATCATAATTTTTTACAGATTAATGGGTAGCCACTGAAAACTGAAATTATTATTATTTTTTACCAGGTAAGGCCCACTGAGCTATAAAGCTACCTTTTCACAGTGACCTGGCCACAAATGATAGCTTAACAAAGTTGACTGATCACGTGGAAATTTCTAGCAGCCAAATATTCTAGACGCATGTTGATTCTAACTGTGGAGGGAAAAACCGGAGGACCCGGAGAAAAATCCACACGAGAGCATGCAAACTCTAAATATACAGCAGGCGTCAGGGTCGGGATCGGACCCACAACGTACTCCCAACCAGGCGAGGGAGTTAACATATTAGTCCCACATGAGCGCCTGTGCTTGCAATAAAATAACCCGAAATGCACTCCATCTCGCTCGGTCTCAGAAGCTATGGATTGTGCTGAGATTAGTGGCCATGTTTTCTAAGAGGGTTGTCATATGCTGCTGTGGGCACGAAAAAGGCAGTACAGCAAATCTACTTTTGCCCTGTACCTCTCTTGTGACCGACACTGCTGCGTGAGAGGCAGGCCCTCATCCAGCAGTTGATAGGCAAAGGAGTTTAAACACAAACATCGCGGCCAGACTTGGTCGTTCAATTTGTAACAGCTTGTTTCATTATACACACACAGATACATTTTTCATGTGCCTATTCGTAAAAACTCACAGCACATTGGTGACTGTCAAGGAGCCAAGAATGGCCAGAAATCAGCCACAACTGTCTTTTAATTCTTTTTTTTAACTGTATGGTCTTGCTAATTTTAATGTTTACGTGTGTCAATGCTGTGATGGCACTTTGGGGGGGACAGATCTTTTTTTGCCAGCAAGGCGCCAACGTGTTAACCAAAAATAACTTGAAAGAGCGCCGAGCCAAGTGCATCGTTTGCACGCTCGCAGATCCCCACGGGGCCCCCGTTCGTGCGTGCCACCCGACCTGGGCCTGTCCAGGGTGCGGGAGGGGCCGCAGTCGCTCTGCTCCGCGTCCAGGGAGCCACCCCTCGGCGTCTCCGGCTCCTCCTGCTCCGAATGCCCCCACCGCGGCTCACTCGACGTCCGCGGCCACTCGGTCCGCGCCTCGGGCCAGGGGCAGCTGAAGTGGGCCGTGGAGGCCTGCGCCGAAGCGGTGGCGACGCCCGCCGGTACGTCCGCGACGTGCCGGGCGGTCACGCGCGCCGCTTTCTCGCTGCTGGACCGAAGCAGGCGGCGCTCCGTGCGCGCCGTCGCCACCGCCGCCGCCATCGCCGTCGGCTGGACGCTGAAGCGGCGCCGTCGCTCGGAGTACGGGGGAGCTTCGTTGAACGGCACTGGGGCGGGAAGACAAAAAGCGGAATCGGTCGATTGCGTATCGCAATTCTTCACCGCGCGCCGGTCTTCGCGGGCCGGTGGGTAACAAGGACCGGTTCGGGTATTGCTCGCCGCTGATGGTGGGTATTGCCGGGAATCAAAACTCAGGGGTGCTGGGTGTATCGCGGGGTGCTCGGATCACTGCACCACCGCGCATCCCTGGTATGATACGATGGACTCAAAGATTTGTTGTGGAAGGGGTGGACTAATCGGATACAGTCGAAGCCCCTCTCAACGAGCACCGCTGTTAACGACTAATCGCTTCACGACGGGCCTCCATAGAGCCCAGTGTCTAGTGTAGTATATAGTAGTGTGTAGTGTAGTGTATAGTGTAGTGTATAGTGGTAGTGTATAGTGTAGTGTATAGTGTAGTATATAGTGTAGTGTATAGTAGTGTATAGTAGTGTAGTGTATAGTAGTGTAGTGTATAGTGTAGTGTATAGTGTAGTGTATAGTGTAGTGTATAGTGTAGTGTATAGTAGTGTAGTGTATAGTGTAGTGTATAGTACTGTAGTGTATAGTGGTGTATAGTGTAGTGTAGTATATAGTAGTGTATAGTGTAGTGTATAGTGTAGTGTATCGTAGTGTAGTATATAGTAGTGTATAGTAGTGTATAATAGTGGTGTATAGTGTAGTGTATAATAGTGTAGTGTATAGTGTAGTGTATAATAGTGTAGTGTATAGTGTAGTGTAGTGCCTCCATAGAGCCAAATGTATTCGCTTACCGACCGTTCCCCTGTTAACGGCGGGCTGTTGTATGTCCAGTTAATATTATTTATTGCATTGATTGACCATCTTTCGTTTAATATTCTGTGTTTATAATGTTGTTAGTATCTTTATATATTAATATCCATCGTTTAAATATTGTAAAGTACGTTTTTTGGGTGAAAAAGGGTAACTTTCGATGCCATCGGAACGAATTAATTCTTTGACGTGTACTTCCTTTCCTCGCTTCACGACCAAGTCACTTAACGACCGGTTTCGTGGAAACAATCGCCGTCATTAAGAGGGGTTCTGCTGTGATTGCTATCGCACTGCACTCCGAACCCAGCCACCAGGGTTTGATTTCCAGCCGCGAATAAAATCGGTGGCGAGTGACATCTGCGCTGGTTCTGGATGCCCCCCTTTTCACTAATCTGCACGTCACTGCTTAATAATAGGCATGGTACCCAGGGCTCGTCCAGCTCTCCAGTTATGGCTAACATTAACATCCCCACGACCACGGTAATAGTGAGGACATCATTCTACAAAGAGCTGCAATGTATTATTATTATTGTTTGACACTTTTTTTTCGAAAGAGAACACCAGGTACTTTAATAACCGAGTGACCATGTAACAATGGATTGATTATTTGGTTAAAATCGATTCGTGCGCGCATTATAAAAAAACACGACGCGGAGTTTACGAGCACGCTAATTTTACGAAAACGTTACATCTAGGCTGATGGCACGAATGAGACGGGACAAGAAAGAGACAACAAGAAATATCATAAACGTAGACTGTGCACATGAAACTAAAAAGAATAAACTCTTGCATTGAACAATGACCCAAAGATCACAGTGATTCCGGAGGATGGGGAGGAAGAGATGGCGGTGTACTCGAAACCAGCCCTACATTTGAGCACACCACAGAGATGATAATAATTTTGGAGATGGACTGAATAAAAAAAACGTTCAAATATACCGTAGTTTAAATCATTTGTTATGTACCATTTCCCAGAAGACAATTCTATTCGCGACTGCGTATTTACATATTCTTCAGGAATGTGGACTCGTGCCAAAATGTTTGAATGCTATTTTTTCCTGGAATCGTGCATAGTTCAAACTCGTGAAAAGCGACATTATCCCGAGTCAAAAAATTGCGTGGCAAGCAAACGAAACAAAATCTGTTTGGTGGAGATAAAATATAAGACGCACAAAACTGTCAGGTGATGTTAAATTAAAAAAAAAAACACGTTTCATTCTCCAGAAGAAATATTAAACATCCAGCATCGAATGCGATTTAAGTAATCTGCCTCTACCAAAAGCATACGGCAGTGAAGGATCATTTATCGTCATTAATCATTTTGTAAGATAAATAACATCGCCTGGGAGATTAGTGACGAGCAGACTTTGCTTTGCCATGCAACAAAAAAAATCCACGCGGCTGCTGTCATCTGCACATTTTGAGCAAAATAACAAAAAAACGAGTGGACCAAAATCTTTAATTCGAACGTCAATCACGGCGTGAATGTACTTCGCTCAAACGCTGTAATCTAAAAATAATGAATGTATTGTGGCAAAATAAAAAAAATCGTAAGAATACAAAAAAAAGATACTTTGTGACCTTGTAAGCGACGGGTCCTTGAGGCTGTGACAGTTTGAGGAGAAAATGCAGGATTATTTCCTATCGTCGCCGGATCGCGCGTGTTCCTTGATGTTGCCGTTATCAGGGCTGTGCAAGGCACAAAACGAGCGTTCAGCACCACAAACATGGCCTACATTTTGCCACTCTGCTGCACTCCGTGCAAAAAATGTACAGTGGTTTAACAAAAAAAATTACCAACCATCGAAGGAAACTTCGGACAGCATTTCAGGGTGCAGATCAAATTAACACCCCTCGTAAAATGTATGCCCTACGAAGAAAAGGCCATAGCACAAAACTCATTCTCCCTTCTGACGCCACGGTATTATTTACGAATGTGTTGAGTTTGCTGCTATTTTGTGTGCTTGTGCACTGCCGCCAACGCAGCGTCACGAGGTGTCCTGTAAGTATGTTTAAAATTTCCGATGCTGTTCTTCTTGGTGTACGTGAGGTATCCCAAAAACAACGGTGGTCAAACGGTCACATCTTTGCATAGCTTAAACCAAGAAAAACACCCACGCCGAGATTCTGCAAAGGGGCCTTGTGCCGGTCACGTGATCCACACGAGTTTCATTACCTGAAAAATCTGATGCTCCGAGTGAAATGAATCATGCTCCAGAAGTTTAATATTTCACGCACAGGTTACGCACACACACACACAACCCTCGCAGCGGCTTTTGGCTTGCCATCGAATATTGACGGTTTCAGATGCGCTTCTGCGGCCGTCTGGAACACTCTTCCCGAAAACTCATTGCTTTTCGGGTTTAGTTTGCTGTCCTTCCCCGCACCTCCAATAAGCGCGGTTGGCTATGTACGGTGCGAAAGAAGTTCATCATACATACAAATATGCACCATAGCCATAAAGACTTTGAGAACCTATTCAGCTGGCACGGCGCACGGAGGGGTGGTATGGCCAGCACCATGCACGCCCATCTTTGTCTCACCAGCGCTGAAGGTAACTTATTTAGGGTCATCCTCGGAGCAGCCCAAATATACTTGAGTTGTCACTTGCAACGAAGGATGTCCATGGTTGGGAATCAAAATCGAGGTCACAAGGGTTCAGAGCACAGTGAGGAAAGCACTGCAGCACGACTGCTCGCTACGCACACACAAATACAAAGTAGCCCTGTATAGTATAGCCTTAGGGACTGGTGGTACAAGTACTGTTCACGGGCGTCTAGTAATTTTGGTACTGCAAAGACAAAGATCACCCTTACAACCTAAACAGACTGTTAGATAAAGCGCTGTTAGCGAGCACCTATGAAGGCCGACACGCCACACGAGGAGGTGGGTGGCCAGCACCGCGCCCGGCCGCCTTTGTCTCCCCAGTGACGATGTTTACTACACACCGCACCAGGTACTCATTTGAGGCTGAGTCAACATGGGGGAGTCCCAGTACTAGTTCAGATAATGGTCACTGGTGTTGGCCGTGAGCGGGAATCGAACCCGGGTAGTTGGGTTCATGGCACAGCGCGCTAACAGCTACACTATCGAGCGCACACACACAGACACGCATGCACGCACACACACACAGACACGCACGCACGCACACACGCTGCATGCGATTACTTTTTCACCTGAAACAAGAACAAAAGAAATGTACGAACATAAATATTTAAGTGTCTGTCTAAATAAATAATAAATGCATTATTTCGCGGGAGTAACAATTAAGCCTGACGTAAAAAAAAAATCATTAAACCACAATCCATGCTGATAATCAATCGAAGCTTCTTGCAGGCTCAGGCATAGCTCCCGGGGCGTACGGAGCGCACCGTACGCTTCGTTACGACGCGGCATTTAAAATGGAGAAGATGACAAGCGCTCAACAAAAATAGATCTCACGCGTTATTTAAGAGATTTCAATTATCGAGGTCACTTGGGGGTGGGGGGGGGGGTGCGGCGGGGGGGGGGGGGGGGACTTGACCATCAAAAAGAGGGTTGGCGCTCAGCCTCCGTGGGCGAAGAAAACGTTTTGCGACTCTCCACTCGCGCACGCTGCCATCGTCGTGCTCTAGATGGTGAAGACGCAGGCATTTGCCGACAACGGCGACGACGGTGATGCGGCCTGGCTAAAACGGGAACGCGGTACAGCATGCGCGGAACATCTGTGTTCATTCGCTCTTCCCGCGAGAGCGATGATCTCCCAATTACGCATCGCACAAGTGACTCGGCCCACACATCGCTCTCTCGTGGGCTGTTGCAATTGTACAAATGTCCCTTCTGTCGCGGGCGACAACAACTGCAGGTGTATCCCTCCTCTCATGGACGGCACCAATCGAGAACATGAAAATTCATTGCTCAGGGATTCTACCCCAGCCTCACCATGCTGACCACATGGGGGGGGGGAGGGGGGGCACAAGAGGGTCCAGGACCAGTTCGGATATCATTTGGCCGTGGCCAAAAAGTGGACTGGGATCGCCAGGTTCATTCACAGAGCAGCGTCCTAACCAATGCACCACCGCTCCCCATTGCTCTATGGTAGACATGATGTTTATGCTAATGACTCCCTTGTTATGGAGTGACCGGTGGGGGTCAGAATGAGGTCACCACAATTAATATGCACATAGACATGCACGGAGAGTTTGTCAATTCGCTGCTGGATGAGGGCCCCCAACACCTTTCCGATTGTGAGATATTTGGCCATAATCTAGATTTGAAGTTTTCGTGACTGCAGGGATCCATATCCTTTGTTCTTTCGGTAAAGTCACGTAGGTAGAAAATAAAATAAATTAAATCACGACGTTTCGGGCGCAACACAAGCGTCCGTCATCAGGTGGGACAACCAAAGCATGAAACAACCCTACCCACTTCAGCAACTGTTTCGTGCTGTGGTTGTGCCACCTGATGACGGACGCTTTTGTTGCGCCCGAAACGTCGTGATTTAATTTAATTTTCTACCTACGTGACTTTACCGAAAGAACCAAAGAGTATTTGGCCATACTTTCACCACACCGATCAGTGCGTGTCTACTCCCCACGACGGCTATGGCACCAGCATTTTTATGCGCTGTGGTCGCCCATCCGAGCACTATCCAGGCTCGACCCTGCTAGGCGTGCGAGATCTGAGGATGGAATAAAAAATCGGGCGATTTCAGGAATGTTGCAGGCAAGAAATAACGGCCGTGCCGTGGACGTGAGACTCTGCTCGTGTGCACGCTGCAAGAAGCGCTAACGATTGCCCTCGTGAATAACATTGGCTGGGTCTTTAATATTCAATCTACAGAGAATGTTTGACCCGTTGGGTAACAACGCCCCAGTGGGTGCGGGGTACAGCCCGTTAAACCCTCGCAGCATATCGCAGCGGAAAGCTGAGCCTTAAATACATAATACATGCACACCCGGTACCGTGAATGAATCAGCAATGAACACAAAATAATTACTGTGCGAGGGTGTTCTGTCGAGCAACATTAATTTTCAGCGCTTAATGGATTTATTTTTGTCGTCTTCTACTTCTTCTTCGCGGCAAGGTCCTGATTGTGCCGTAATGTATCAGGGCCCCTCTGAGCATTGCAGCACTTGACGCGTAGAATTCGTTACGAACCTGGGGACCCACAATAACCGCTTTCCGTATTAATGCAATGAGGGGATCATCCCCCAATTACGCCCAATTCAACTCAGATACGAACGCACGTCCCCTCTGAACACCGAACGGGGCCTGGCCACGGCCGATTACGGGAACTCGAGGCGTGCGCGCGCTCGCGCGTGGCGTTCCGCGGCAGGCCATCAGCTGACGCATGAAGAAAAAGAGTCTCCGCTCGGTCACCTCTTGTCGCGTTCAAGTAAGCGCAACGCCGATTATTGTTCGGCGGCAGACCTCAAGGTCCCCCGACGCACGGGGGCCAGGGCCGATTGTAATCGAGCCTCAAAGCCACGAGGCCAAGTCGAAGCCAAGGCAGGGAGCCGTTCGGTGGAGGCCGGTCGTCAAGGACAGTCATGGCCACATCCTCGAGGCTCAGGGAGGCGTAAAGGCCGGTGCCTCCGAGCGGGGTCTTTGAAAGAGGCCGCATCTCTGAGGCCAAGATCACGGACAAGGTTCTCAGGGAAATGTCCCCGAGCCAGCCTCGAGACTGTGGACTGGTCTCAGGAACCCATTGACCGAGATTATTTACAGCTCAGCTTAACTTGCACGCCGCGGTCCCGGAAGAACAATGTATTTTAAAGCGCTGTAAAATTAAATCGAAAATGAAACCAATGCCTTATGCTGCGGGGCGTTTAGGATCACGATCTTGTTGACTGCCCTCTGAAGTTTGTAACATCGGCAAAATATAAATAAATGCACGCGTGTGCGTGCGCATGGCCGAAGCGTGCCACTGAAAAGACAATAAAGGTGACCTCCACTCGGGAGGCAGATTTTACATCGTGAAGAAATTGCCGAAACGTATCTCCTTGTTACATTTGGCACGCTGGTGGTAAAGGAGACACCTGGATCGATTTTCCAAAAATCTAATGGAAATAAACATTCAAAAATATGCAAATGAAAACCCACGTGCAAGAAGGCAGGATTGCCTGCAAGATCCTGTGACTATGTACGTATCATCTTGATTTGATTATACATACGTATATTTACGTATATTTAACTTCTTTCGCACCATACGTAGCCAACCGCGATAATCGGAGGTGCGGGGGGGGGAAGGACAATAAACTAAATACAAAAAGCAGTTCTAAAGAAATGACCAAGCTCTTACAGAGAGTGGTTTCAGCTTTCATGGCATTAAATAAAAAACTAAAAATATCAAACCATTCTGAACGAAACGATGTCAGGAGACCTCCTCTGCTTCAGCCACCCCTTTTGGTATCGCCGTCTGCTTCGGTGCCAAGTCGCTTGGCAAGAAAAGCCAAGCACGCTGCACGGATGGGTATAAACACCCACGCCATGCAATTCCCTCCCAAAAACCAACGCAAATGTACTCTGGCAAATCTAGAGGAAATTAATGGTTAGTCTAACCGTCGGCGGTCTGCCATACCTGTGCGGCGAGCCGTCCACTGCAATGAATTCAAGGCAGAGGGAGCGCATGAAGGACTTTCATCGTCAACTATGACGGACACCCATCCATCGTATCCGGAGTGACCTCTGACCAATTTATTATCAATGCTTATTTTCATAACCTCCCTAACACTAACCCCCATCTATAATCCCAACCTTGGCGGATCGCCGATAAGAAGAATGCTAACTAATAAATACCCCACGGCACTGCAGAAAGTATCACACAAAACTGATCAAATAGCCTCGTGTGCTGCACCTACATGAGATTATCGCATCGCAAGGCTGTGAGAGATGGCGAAAATTTGGAGAGGCCTCCGTCGAGCAGTGGACAGAATGTAAGCACGGCAACGTCTGGGTTTTCGCGGTGCGAGTTGCAGCCAAACCTTTTCGGTCCGTGGAGCACGGGCAGCCCATTGGTCAGCGCAGCGCCGGACACTCAGGCGCACGCTCCCCCGTGGAGAAAAATAACCTCGTCCCCAAAAGGTCGGACGGTACCGCGCAGCCCCTCCACGGTCAGCCACCGGTGCCGCAGTCCCCCTAAACAAACTTGGAGGGACGCCGATCTCTCAGCCTGATCTCGCAGCTCCGTCCCCGACGTCTGGTCCACGGGGCCGGCAGGTTCCCGGCCGCGCCCTCCCTCGTTTCACGACCGGGTGCGTCCCATCTCATCGTCTTCCAGTTCTCAACCTGGCGATAACCTCGCTGTCACCCGACTACCGGCACAGCCCGCCCCCCCCCCCCGCCCCGCCGCCACGTATCGTCCGATCTATTCCTGCGCAAGTTCGTTTCTCTCTGGAATCGCTGCAGTGACTTGTGCCCAACCCCGCAAGCCTTACCACCAGCGCCGGCAACCATGCTCACCCACCCACACGCCCACCCGCCGCCCGCCCGCCCGCCCCAACATCTATCCCCAGTTGTCCTGATTTGCCAAGAGCAAGCCTCTTGCATTTCTGTGCAACAAACAATAAAAACGCACGGCCAGCCGGCTCCTGCATGCTGCTAATACCCTCACCAGAGCTGTTTAGCTGCCAACCGCCAGCAGAATTGAAAATAAATGAGGACTAAATCCCTCACCCAGAGTAAGGATTAATTCCGGCTATGCTGTCATCGAAGGTTCAAAAGCCACCGATTATATCGGGATGCAACAGTGAAGACATTCTTAATACTGCAGCGGGAGGCTTATTGGACTTAAAAAAAAATGCCAATTTTAATGTCACTTCGCGACGCGAGACCAGACTCGTCGCCGCTATTAATTGCAAGCGTGCAGATGCCAGCCTTGTGCAAAGTGTTGCGCGTTGTGTCCGGCCGGAGCTTAATCCAAAAGACACCACGCTGCACAGTCTTAAGCAGTCACGCGCAGCTCAGCCAGGCCATGTGCACGGAGAACGGGGGACGCGTGACGAGAGGGCCACCGCCAGGCAGGGCATAATGCCAGCGTCGTCTTTGACCAACGCGTTTGGGCTGGCTCACGAGACGGGCAAGCCTGCGAGTTGACGAGCGACCGCGCACGTCTCCTCCTCCAACGCCACTCGATAAACTCACCTACGTCGGTGCTCTTGTGCACTTTAATTGTTTCTGCCAGATCGAAATTCCCTGCCACAATCGCCACCTGGGATTACAAACACGAGCACACACGCACGCGCACGCAGATGCACAAAACACAGCTCATTTTCAATCGCCGCAGTGATGTAAATGCAGCTTAAAATAAATGTAGCTCAGCACTTGAGTTCTCTTATCTGAAGCCCCGAACAGGCGTTAACTGTGACCTGAGAAGTTAAGAGAATGAAAGAGCCAAAATAATCAACTGTCCCGCCGGTGCATCGCTTGTGCCCATAGTATTGCGAAATGGTAACTTGCAATGCAATGCCGCGTCGGCAATGGTGCACAAGCAAGCATGTGCCTGTATTTATTGAATGCGCGGGAAGGCCACTAATGTTGATTTATTCATGATGGTATCATTACGGCGAAGTGGCGGCACAGTGCTTCGTGTACTGCGCTATGAACTTAGAAAAACCTGAGTAAGATTCCCAGCCACGGCTAACATCAGCAACGAGGAGCAACCGAAGTGATCCCGAGCCTGCCGCTCACCGACACGCACTGATCAGCGCGGCGAAGCAGCGGCTTGACAAAGGAATTGAAGGTCACCACTCAGACACATTCAAGCTCCCAATCCCTGCAGCTCTTTCAATGATGTAACATCATCACCAGCATATACAAATTACACACGTGAACACACGCGAACACACACACGAATAATATTGCAAAATACAATTTCGCTCGGAGGCGTACTTTCAGGATTCCCTAAACCCCAAACTCAGAAGCAATAATGTCTGCCTTCCAGCCAGAGCAGCTCCCCCGGCCGTGCGGTTTCAGGTGAGCGCCTGATCCCATCTATCGTCAGATTGGCCAACAATAACAAAACCCCTTTGCTTCTTCTGCTGCTGCTTCTGCTGCTTCTCTGTCGTATGGTTTGCTGCAGCATAGCGGACTGATTGTCGGCGAGCGGCAGCGCTGGAGCGCTGGAGCGCTGTCCTCCAGACAGTCTCGTCCCTTCACCTGATGAAGGCCGTTTGTGTTGTGGCCGAAACGTCGTGAGAATTTTATTGTGTTATTTTATTTTATCAATGTATTATTTTATTCTCATTCTACGTGACTTTACCAAAAGAACCAAAGAAGATGAATCCTTGCAGTCACGAAAGCTTTAAATCGAAATTTCACGTAGATTGGCTCAAAGAAAATAACAAAAAACTACGACGTTTCGATCACAACACAAGCGATCGTCATCAGGAGGATCAGGAGGATGACGATCACTTGTGTTGTGATCGAAACGTCGTAGTTTGTTGTTATTGTTTTTCAACCTATCTACGTGACTTTACCGAAGACCCAAAGAATACGAATCCCTTCAGTCGTGAAAGCTTTAAGTCAAGTTTGTGTCACAGTTCTTGTGCCAAACCGGGGGCCTCTGGGTTGAGGTCGTGGGTGGCTTCTCTCCCTCCTCTGAATGTGCGGGAGGCGCACGAATCGACGAGGCGTGGTTCGTCGTTTGTAACGCTTTCCCGCGGTCACAGAGTGGGGGGCCTGCTTTTAATCTTCCGCTTATGAGGGATGTGCAGATTCCGTTTAGCGCGCAGCACCACGGTTCGGGCGGTAGGTGAATGTCCGGCGGTCGCTCGTGCCGACACATTCAGACGCAGCGCTCTACTTTGTAGGCGCTATCTTGGCACCGAGGCCTCTACCGTAAAAGAGATGAAGGTGGTCAAGGCGGAGCCCGGCTATCGCGTGCCCGTGCCACCGCTGGCGGCAGGCGCCTCCACGAGAGGGCATTTCTGGTCCACACATCTACGCTGGCCAGACGTCTTGGAAGAGATGGGTGTACCCACACTTTAACCCACCATGTGCGGACCTGATGGTCAACTTACCATGGTGTCCCCATTTGTGGGGCGGGGGGAGTGGGGGTGGAATTCAATAAATATGCACCATTGTTTCAACTGCCTCGTCAGGAGGCGGGATCAAGGTCAACCCTGACCTGCGCGCGAAAGACTTAATGCCACGGCATCATCCCTGTGAACACGCAAGGGAAGGTTTTTGTTTTTTTAATTCGCGAAAATCAGGGCCCAGCGGCGATGCCGGAGCGGTGCGAGCAGTCGCCGGAGTGGGGCCGGCGTAAGTGGACACCGATCGCGGTTTGGTCACGTGCCTGGAAGGGATTTTGGCTGTTGAAGTTCTTGATCTCCTTGTCGGCTCCGCGAAAGAGAAGCACTTGTGTGCAGCTTTCCTGGAAGTGCGACGACGGAAGTGAAAGCGTTAGGACTCCGTCGCCAAAAGTACCAACGGCAGCACTTCTCGCGGGGTTTAAAAGACCGTTGAACTTTTCGCAGACTTTCAATAAAATTACTTAAGTCAAAAAAATATTTTTTTTTGGTATAACATGAAAACGCCTTGTTTACTTTGTCTGGATAATGTTTGGTAAATATATGTCTGCATGTTGAACTTATTTTGCACCGTACGTTGCCAACTGTGCTAATCGGAGGTACGGCAAATATATGTACACATTTGTAAATAACCAACATTTTTAATCAGTATGAGAGGCTTTGGGTAACGTGGTGGCACAGTGATCAGTGCATTTGGGCTATCAACCTGAGTCAAATTTCCGGCAACGCCTAACAACAGTGGCGAGCGATATTAGAACGGGCCTTGGGTCTCCCCCAAATTTACCGATCCACAACTCACAAACACCACGTTAACGCGTTGTTTCTGTGCTTCCAACGTGGAGACATGAATGCTTGGAATTACACCGAGGCAGACAGAGGAACACGCGTGGAATAGCGGAGGGCCCATCGCTAAAAAAGATGACAGCCGGCGGTTGAGACCAATTACAGAGCGGCAGTGAAAGCTGGACACACACACACACAAATCACGGTGGAGATGGAGCCATGTGCTGGAGCTAGGCGACTTGTAGCATTGTGAGCCGGCGAGCAACGCCAAATGCTCAGGAAGACAATCATCCAGCGGTGGACAGACAACGGCTCCGCGATTAGGTGAACGCCTAAATGTGCCTCTCGTCTCTCTAGGGTTGCCTCTGTAGCACCAATGCCGGTGAGGCGTCGCGCCTCCTGGCCCGGCGACTCGCCTGGTCGTAGATGGCGGCGATGTGCAGGGCGGTGTTCCCGGACGCGTTCCTAGCCGACATGTCGGCCCCGTAGAAGAGCAGCAGCTCGAGGTGCTGCACGTAGCCGTGACGGCACGCCTGCTCGCACGCACGGCACGGCGCGGGCGGGGATGTGAGGGGGGGGACGAGGGAGGGGGGGGGTGAAGGGGGGGAGAAGGAAGGGGTGAGGGAAACGAAGGGAGGGGAGGTCTAGGACGCGAGGCGTGCGAGAGGCCGGCGTTGCTTGAAAAAAAGATTAAAACTCAAAATCAACTTCCGAACTGCGGGAGGTCGCCCCCCTTTCTCCTCTGCTGCCCCTGCAGTCTAGAATTCTGCCTCCTGCCCAAGCGTCTGCACTGCTGATTGCCTCATCCTCCGAGTCCCCCGCGTGACGCCTTTTCCCCTCCTCTCCTCTGCCATCCGAACAACACCGACTAATTTGCCGACCTCTTTGCCCTTCCACCTACGTCCCTAATGGCCCCACCCCTCCTTTGATTCCCCTGGCTGCAGAAATTAGAGCTGTCGTTGCCTCGTTCATTTCACATCACGGTGTAAATCAGCGTCTGTGCGGGAGGGCTCGGGTGGTGGTTCAGAGGGGGCTTCATGCACGCCTCGTGCCTTGTCCCCTGCTCAATCTGTCCGACGATAAAAGTTTGTTTTGTCGTAATTTTCACTTCATCATTTCCATCAATCATGTGTCTGCATGCGCTACTTTGCGCCCGATGATAATTTACATTCGCCTGTTGCTGCTGCTGCTGCTGCAGCCAGAAGAGACGGCTCAATAACCATTCTCGTTTCTAAGTGCAAAATATGGTTCTAATCAGCAGCATGAAAAATAATTATCTTTCGTTTTCACGTTGAAGTACAAATTCAAATCTTTTGCACAGCATGCAGGAAGTGACTGAGCAACGAATCGCTCTAAAACGGAGGCCCTCCTGACATTCGCATTAGCTTCAAGTTGAAGATGACGGACTTAAAATGACTGCGTGTCCGCAGGAAAAAAAGAATTCGTTTCATGAAAAAATAAAAAACCGAGTTGAAATGTTTTCAAGATTTGAAATTCAAATACTGTAAGGGCGAAAAATATTAAATCACATAGGCCAATAGCTGAGCCATTAAGTCTGTCATAGCCTGTTAATTCTGACCACAGCTGAGCTTTTAAAAAAAAAATAACGGCTAACCAATTTCCACTTTTGCAGAATCTCAGTGGTTCCCACCTCCCCCCCCACACACCAGCTGTCCCAGAAATGGCCCGGCAAGTTCCACCCTGAGCCAAATGACACAAGACAGACAATATTACTCCCAGGCGCGTTCAATCTCGCCGACTCTAAGTACGGGTGCGCGCCAGCCTCTGCTTTGCCGTCACGGCTCGGCACGGATTGGTCAATCACCCGGGCGCTGGCTCGTCTCCCCGGCTCCGCCATGGCCGCTCGCGTCTGAGCTCGCGTCCTCCCCGTGAACGCGCCGACGAGTCGTGAGCCTTCAATCGATTTATCGGCCGCGCTGCGGGGGGAGGGGGAGGAGCAGGTCGCTCGCCGGCTTGTCGTTTCGCGTCGAGCGTCGAGCGACGATTCATTTGTCGCTGAATATTTCCGGGTCATCGGTAGGCTGGAGGAGGTGGCACGTGACTAAGTATCCCACAGCGAGAACGAGAGGCATACTGGACGTGGTTTGCCCAGGGCTTACTTTATCGAAGAATATTTTTAAGGTCACGAGCAGACTGCAGGTGTTGGCAATGTGACCAAGTAACCCACGGCAATACCGAAAGCTATACTGGATGCAATGTGCTGGGTGCAAAAATATCTTCGGGTTGGCCAATTGGGACAGACTGAAATTAAGGCAGCCAACATCGTGGGCAAATTAGAATCGTTGTCCGTCGTGTCCGAGTGGGCTGTAAATATAATTGTAAGCCGACTGGTCACGTCATCACATTACCTTTGATTTAAAGGCTTGTTTACACCGTAATTTGCATGTGGTGTAATTTCTTAATCCGTGCTTAGCCCACATTCTACACAAATTAATTTTTTTGCGATAACTCAATTGCATAACCGCGATGCGTAAAGGAATTGTGCCAGAGTGTTAAATGGGTCACGGTGTGTCTTTAACGATCCATCAGCAACAAAGACTTGCGGGTTTCCCCCCCGCCCCCGACTCCCTTCTCGCAGAGTGGCTAATAAAATTAAACGGAAAGCATGGCTTCCTCGCTGTCAATTACATCGAGTTATAAAATCCATTAGACATGCCTGGCTCACACACAGTCTTGAACAAAATCTATGAATAAAAGTTCTCTGCCAATCGGCGCGGCGAAATCGGTGACCATAATTGGCACTCAATATTACTCTTCTGTGATGGGCTTAGCAGGCCCTCCCCTTCTCATCGTTCTGACATTTCGCATACGCCGCAGCTCTTGTTAAAACCGCGCGTAATTGACTTTGGAATCCCACAATCAATGCCCGTTCGAGCACACCTGTAAACTCCCGACGCCTTGGAGCGGTGATAGCTCTGCGAGATCAAACCAGTGACCTGGGTTTGATTTCCCAGACACGACTAACATTGGTAGCGAGTGATAACCGAAGAGTCCTGGGCTCCCCACTCCACCAACCTGCGCTGACCACCACGGTGAAGTACAGTCAAACAACCTCCAAAACTGACACGACTTGGGGAGGCCTTCATCCGGCAGTGGCTTTACAAAGGCCACGTGCTATAAGTTCTAGGGTCAGTTAAAAATTGAGCGAAAAACATTTGTACGTGTAACAAAGCTGTGGGCAAGCATTTCCCAAGGGCTCATTGTGAATGACGCTATTCCTCTACGTCACCCACCGACAATGGCCACACTCGAGACCGTGAGAGCACGAACGACCGAAAACGTAACCGAGCCATCGCGAAAAAGTAATGAATAATCCGAGGTCATTTGCGCCAAGTGCCAGTTGAAAATAAGGGGGTGGGGGGGGGGTACGTATTGTACAAGAGTGTAAACAGAAAAACCGAGTGAGAAAGGTATTTAAGGTCGAAAACTAAAAATCCAGACTCAGAAACGGCAGCAGACACACAGCGGTGCAACAAAAGAAAAGCAACAATGATCGGCCACGGAGCAGTGTTCTCAAAGGCGGCCAAGGTTACGACGGTCGTGCCACCAAGTGGCGGCCGTCTGGTGTGCCGTGTCACAGTGCATCCTGGGGCTGAGCCCAAAGCTGGCGTGGGGGGGAGTCCAGCGCAGCCTTCTCGGGCCCCCAGGACTGTACCGACCAACCACCCAGCGAATACGGCAAATGTATACGGGTTGTGGAGAGTCAGGGAAAGTGGCTACGTCCAAGCCACGCTGTGTATATCGGCGAAAATACGGGCAGAGTCTGCTAAGATCAGTGTGTGCACTTAAGTTAAGCTATGTCGAGGAACGTTCAAGCGTCCTGTGTGAAACGTGCGTTTAGAGTATTTGGCTGCTATAAATTTCCACATGATGATAAGCCACGTTGTTGAGCCATCATTTGCGGCCAGGTCGCTTCTGAAAAAGAGCTGTGTAGCGATTATCGTAATTTAGTCGTGTTTTTCCAAGGAATAGGAAAACGCGATTGCTATGACATACGGCGCAGACGCATGGTTACCGACGTTTGTCCCTCCCTGTATCGCCACGGGCGGCGGCGAGCGTCTGTACGAGCGGCACGCGGCTCACCTGGTGAGCATCAGGGTGAGCGGCGCACGGCTCACCTGGTGAGCACCAGAGTGAGCGTCCATGCAGCTCACCTGGTGAGCGTCGGGGTGAGCGTGCACGCGGCTCACCTGGTGAGCGTTAGGGTGAACGTCATGCGGCTCACCTGGTGAGCGTCAGAGTGAGCGTCCACGCGTCTCACCTTTTGAGCGTCAGGGTGAGCGGCGCACGGCTCACCTGGTGAGCGTCAGAGTGAGCGTCCACGCGGCTCACCTGGTGAGCGTCGGGGTGAGCGGCGCACGGCTCACCTGGTGAGCGTCAGAGTGAGCGTCCACGCGTCTCACCTGGTGAGCGTCAGGGCGAGCGGCGCACGGCTCACCTGGTGAGCGTCAGAGTGAGCGTCCACGCGGCTCACCTGGTGAATCTCTTGCCAGCCGTTGTCGTCGGCACAGCCGACGTGCGCGCGCTCGTACAGCAGCGTCTCGCAGGAGCGCGCCTCCCCCCCTGCCACGCAAGTGTAGTAGAGCGCCGACAGGCCCCGGCTGTCCCTCACGTCGGGCGATAAACCCAGCTCCAGCAGCGTCTGCAAGGCGGAAAATAAATAAAGGTGAAACTAAAGTAACATTTTTTTTTGTTACAATTAAGTGTAATGTAAAGGTGCAGCCCACGCGATCGCTAATCGCTCGCTCAAGGCACCGCCGGCGGGAAAGGGTCCTCCACCAGAGGCGACTCTCGAAGGGCCCCCCCCCCCTGAATGAGGCATTTTGCCGGCCGCTTCTTCCACGCTGGCTGACCTGCAGCACGGGGTGGTTGCGAGCTCGGGCCGCCTTGTGCAGTGCCGTGAGGCCGTCGCGAGCGCAGAAGTCCAGGTGCGCTCCTCCGCATACCAGCGCCTTCACCACCTCCGTGCTGTTGGCGAGCTGAGCAGCCGCCGTCAACGGGCAATCTGCCCGGCCCGTTCCACGAAACAAAGTCCCGTCGGTGAACGAGCCGGTCGGAGTGCGTGAGAGCGCCGCCGTGAGCGGCGTTACGGCCGTCCCACAAGGGGAGGCGGAATTTCGTGCTCAACTGAACGCGGGGAACGGCGTGCAGGCGATCGAAGATGTTTCACACGTACGTTAGATGTTCGGTGCCATTGATTTTCGCCGATCGTCCTCTTGCATTGGCGTCATGTCATTAAAACAAATAATTTAATCGAAACTCTCACGAGGAACGGCCCACCACAGAAGCGTACGTCACAGGGCTACCTCTGACGATGTCACACGGAGGAACAGCAGCATTGTGACGTCAGGTCAAGGAGCCTCTGGAGAGTGAAATTCAGAGTCAATCTATCCAGCAAATGAGTGAAATAGGCAGTTGTTCACCAGGTGTTCCACTGGCGAACACCCGGCGAACAACTTCCCATCGTTTACCATCGGTGGTGCAACGACGCTGAAGGTCGCCGCGTGAACAGGGAGGGAAGGAGGCGAGCGCCACTCACCGCCCTTTTCCGAGTCGTGAAAGTTTGGGTCGAGCCCCCGATCGAGCATCGGGACCAGATGTTCCGTGTCCAACTGCAGAGTCAACTCCATGAACTTCTTCTGGTTGACCTGCGGGGAGGGGGATTCATCGTCGCCATCGGCGGCATCGTCAGACAGTGTCAACTCACCGCTTGCTCGGCACATCCTCGCACACCGACTGCGTAGGACATGTGAACGGGGTTCCCCCCCACCCCCCTCCCCTCCACAAGACGGAAATCCTCTGCGAAGGATTTTATTCAGGTCTTCACACTATGATACCCACAGCGAGCCCTCTCTCTCCCTCTCGCAGCCACGAGCACACGACACGCACCCTTTACTGTATATACCCAAATTATCTCCCCAACCTCTCTGAAACTTTCCAGAAGTTCCCCTAAGCCCCTCCTTGAGGTCTCCTCCGATTTTCCCGGCTTCATAACGGCCACCGTTCTTTATTCGTTCATTATTCATGAATCGTGGGTGTGGTCCCATGGCCCCCCAGAGTGACGCTTACACATACAACACAAATCACATAGAAGAAATAATAATGTAAAATTAAGCTTATTCAGTTTATATATAAAAAACACGTATGTACATCATATCAACATACAATGCATCTGGTATTCACCAAACATCCCAATGATGAAAGTACTCTAATGGGGTTAAGCATAGCAACACGTACACGACTGTGTGTGTATGTTGAACTTCTTTCGCACCCTACGTAGCCAACCGTGTTAATCGGAGGTTAGATCGTGTAAATATAAATGGGTCATTAAACCCGCCACCACCCGACACAGCCAATTAGTAAGGTTTGTCACGTGAGCAAAACATGCCAATTAGTTACTACATCAGTGTTGGAGAGTAAACCAACGACATTTACAATTCGAGTACAACGTTTCACTAGCGATTACAACCAGCATCATCAGGCGATAGCCAGAATTGGCAAATCATTGTACTCGAAATGTAAACGTTGTGGATTTACTCCCCAAAACACAGATGTGCTGAAGTAACAACTAAATGGCACATATTGTTTACATGACAAACCTTACGAAATGACTGTGTCGGGTGGTGGTGGGTTTCACGACACATTCATATTTACACGCTCTAACCCAAAAAAAAACCTTTATTATGGATAATATTGGTCGTGAAAGCCAATCTGCTAACCGAAATAATGTTGTGTTCATGGCGAGGCTTCTGGGAAAGATGGCACGAGTGCCGATGGCGCCCGTCAGACATGTGCAGCGAGACATCAAGAAACTAAATGTACTTTAGTACATCAGCCCCTTGGCCTTCGAAACAAATGTTTTCGAGCAACATTTGTTAAAATGAGCAAACTCTAGAAAGGTTTTGACCTTCTGGGCCTCATCAGCAAAAGTCAGCCTTGTTAAACAACTGCTGTTGGATTGATTTTACCAGACCTCATTGGCAAGGGCACTCCGCATCAACTAAAAGTGACAACACCATACCACAAACTCGATATCCATTGCTGTGGAGCATCATCGGCAAAAGCAAACATAAGCAGAACTTTCTGTATCTAAATATCTTTCGCATCGTGAAGACGCATTTCAATATCTCAGAACTTATTTTGGAACTGGCGAATCATGATGAATGCATGTAATCGACTTCATAAAATAATCATTAAGCACTCGACGGAAAGGAACAGACGTGGAATGTTTTGGGTACCACCAGCAGATATGACCGAACCCTGGGATTTGATCATTAAAGCGTTATTATGTAAGAGACCTTGCTTGGAGTGTACACACAATCCACATGCCATTACATTCTCCCTCGAGAAGAAGTTTATCAAGGCAATGCCAAAAATAATTTCCACTTTTGTCGTTGTTGTGAATGATGAATTATTATTATTATTTCAGACGGAAGCTTTTACGGCTTAGGAGAAGCTTGAAACGGGAGTGCCTCTGCCACTATTTTCAATCACGGGTGCATTGAGTTAATATGTGCATGGCGTTAATTAAAGATGAAGTTGTTCCTATAATTCCCGGTTGGTGACCTCTAATGCACGGCTCACTCATCCGATTATTAAAGTGACCAGAAATCATTGGGAAATGACCGGTGTTTATGCAGCTTGTCAAATATAGAATCGGAATCTTTGTTCAGGAAGCTTGCAGCTTTTACATAATTACGTTATTGTTGTTTGTTGTTGGTCTATATTGGATGACTAGCATACCCTAACAGTCATGTTTTTTTTCCTTATCCACGTTTCCGACGCTCGGTACATTCCAACAATAAACATACGGCCGTGGCGTTATCGGTCGTGAGCGTGTCCTTATTTACAGATCTGACTGCTGGGATTTTGCAGGGTTTGATCGATCTTGTCTCATACATATGCAAGTATGTTGCACTTCTTTCGCACCATACGTAGCCAACCGTGGTTATAGGAAGTAAACGCGTCAAGAGGGGTGGGAGAAGAGGAGTTTGGAGGGGCTGGGGTAGCAGTCACGTTTCATTTAAAGAAAACACACATTTGCAGGGTAAGTCTCACCTTGGTGTTAAGTTTGGTAATCAGCTTCTCATCCACGTTTGTTTGCTTGTACAAGCGTCTCTTGTAGCGGAACTGAAAATAAAGTACACACAAAATAAGAGCAAAATAAGAACAAAATAAGACCAAAACACAAAGATCCCCCGTAAGGCCGTAACAGACTTTTGGGGGCAAGTGCTGTTAGCGAGCACCTATGAAGGCTTGGCACAGCACGCGAGAGGGTGGGTGGCCATCACCACGCCTGGCCGCCTTTGTCTCCCTAGTGGTGATGTTTACACACCACACCAGGTACTCATTTGATGCTGAGTCAACCTAGGGGAGACCCATGACCGGTTCAGATAATCGTCGGTGGTGCCGGCCGTGAGCGGGAATCGAACTCGTTTCGCCGGATTCGTAGCGCAGCGCGCCAACCACTGCACCACCACTCCTCAAAGGTAAAAAGCACACGTTTACACAAAAGAAAGATATAGACACACACGCACACTTATACACGCACACGAAGAAAGATGTGCACACACACACACGCATACACACGCGAAGACACACACACAAGACAAACACACGCACAGGCTCCAAGCAATGAGCACACACAAATCCACAAGCAACCATACACAATAAGCGGACCTATGCTGTTTGCACAGGTAAATGGATGCCCGCACTGCACACACACACACCTTGTAACAAAGAATTTAAATTATTTCAATAAATAATGTTACCACCGAATGAAATGCTCCACCTCATTTGCGCGGGAGATCCGTATCATATATCAAGGACATAATTAATCATTGATTTACATTGATATCGTTCGTTCTGCACGTACATCTTCACATGAATGCGACCCGATACTGTAATTGTCACCATATGCGGTGCGATACATAAATAACATTTTAAATAAAGGCATTTTGGAAACATTAACAAAAAAATCCACTCACGCGATCGCCAGCTAACATTGTCCTGCTCATAATTCACTTTTCAATCGCTGAAAGGAGATAATGAACCCCAAGAGGTGTCATATTTTATTGCAATAAACCACCCAGGTTCGTCAAACGTGCCAAACACCAACCACAGTTATGTTGTTGATTCTTTGAGGTGCACGTAAGGGAGACAAAGGGGGAGGTGGCAGGGGGGGTGCTGAAATGGAAAGGACGACGCGGGTAGTGTACACAGGAAGCACGGTCACATATCTTCCCCCAATTATAGAGGCCTTCATTTAGCGGTGGAGTCTATGGGCGTGTGTATGTGTGTATATATTTGTGTGTCTGGTAGTGGGGAGACAAAGGGGGTCGGGCGTGGTGCTGGCAACGTACCCCCTCCCTCGTGTAACTGTGCCGGCCTTCATAGGTGCTCGCTAACAGCACTTGTTCTAAAAAGTTTGTTATGGCTATAAGGGGGATTTTTGTCTTTGTCTGGTAGCGTAGCGATTAGCGCGCTCCGCTATGAACCAGGTGGCCTTTGTTTGATTCCTGCTCACGGCCAAAACCGGTGATGATTATCTGAACTATTCCTGGGCCTCCCATAGATCGACTCAGCCTCTAATGAGCACATGGTGCAATGTGTAAACACCGCCACTAGGGAGACAAAGGCGGGCGGGGCATTGTGCTGGCCACCCACCCCCTCGTGTAATCTTGCCGGCCTTCATAGGTGCTCGCGAACAGCACTTGTCGCCAAAAAGTCTACTATGGCTATAAGAGGAACATGCCTGGGTAGGGACGGAAGAGGTTGCGTGCGGTTAGGGAAAAGGGATGGTGGCGCAGTGTTAAGAGGAAAGGTGATCAAATCTGTTTGGCACAAGTTTCCAAGGAGGTCCAATGAAGCCGACCTCACACCCTAGCAGTTTGTTAACAAATTAAATTATCAAATCCATGCACCTTCTGTCCTGTATCTACAGATAAAAATGAAATATTAATGAATCTAGAGACAGAAATAGAAAGATATGGATCAGAGGACCTACGCAAGTAAGACAACACATTGACTTCATAAAAGTAAGTGGGCTTGGCCTGGGACTGGTAGCGAGAAGAAACGATGGTCAGCGGCCGAGACTAATGATGGCGTGGCAGTCACAGGGGTGAACAAGTCCAAGAGGATGACCACAATTGAGATGGACCAATGAATTTAGCTTGTGGGCACGAGCGAGGACAGATTGTTTCATTACAAGACTGTGAGAGTTTGCGATGAATCGGCACAGGGGGTCAAAATGCCACCTAGACACTTCTGATATTTGGAATTAAAATCCGGGTTTCGGCTGCCTGCGATTAAAACCAGCTTCTCAAGTGATCTCAAGCCGGTCACGATAAAAAAAAAACCCCAATAATTAAACCTCCATTTACATTTTTCTCCCCCGCTTTCCCGTAACACAACGGAGGGGATTACCTCGAGGTAGGGCACGGGTGAGTCGTCCGGGGGTGGGTAATCTCCCAACAGCCTCTCCTCGTCCAGGAACTTTCCGACGCGTCCGCGGCTCGCCGGGAGGAAGAGGCCGTAGTTGAGTTCGTCCGGAGGAGCCTGCGCCAGGCCCTGCACCACGGCCTGCTTGGCGATGCGCACAGGTAGCCCCGGTTCCAGGAGCAGGCACTTCTGCTCGGTGTCCCCACAGATGCGGGCGATCACACGTGCAGTCGCACGCGGGCACAAACGGGCACACACACAGGTGGACAAAAAAGTTAAAAAACTAAAAAACTATTTTGCGCCGTACAAACCAGGCCACGCCAGGGCCGTGTTGATCCCAGCACAGAAGACACATGGAGTTGTTTTTTCCACTGCGGAAGCCGAGCCGTGCCGCTAGCATCACGCGTAACAAAGGCATCATTAGGCCCGTCCGTGCCTGACTCCTTTCCAACTTCAGATGTCTTGTGAGGTCAGCGTTATGAAGATAATTCTGGCTCAAATAGCCAGTGGAAAACAACTTAGAGGACCTCCCCCCTCCCTGCGCTGGCTCAGCTTGGAAAAGGAGTAAAATATCCCATGTGCAGTCTACAGAGGCTGCTGGGAAAAGTTCTGTTAGCGAGCGCCGATGAACGCCACCATGGCGCACAATGGGGGTTGGTGTTGTCAAGTACCACCCTTGGCCGCCCTTTTCTCCCAAGTGCTGATCCCATCTTTATTTTACTATTTATTATCACGTGCCTCCCATGCACTACACCTCAAATCTCCAGAGTTTATCGAAGGAGAATTTGCTTGGACAGGAAATTATTACGTGTATGCAGCACACCAGGCACTCGTCTAAGGCTGAGTCAACTGACTTAGGGGAGGCCCCTGACCGGTTCTGATATTACTGGGCCGTAATTTTAGCCATAGCCGCCAATTGATGCTGGGTTGCCGGGTTTGTAGTGCAGTGCACTAAACCACGACGCCACCGCTCTCCACTGCAGGCACACAGGCACACTCACCCACACATACACAAATACAAAGATCTCCCATATATCATCAACAGACTGTTGGGGTAAGCGCTGTTAGCGAGTAGCACCTATGAAGGCCGGCACGGCACACGCCTGGCCGCCTTTGTCTCCCAGTGGCAATGTTTACACACTGCACAAGGTAATCGTTTGAGGCTGAGTCGACCTAGGGGAGATACAGGACCGGTTTAGATAATCGTCACTGGTGTCGACCGTGAGCGGGAATCAAAACTTGGGTCGTGGGTTCGTAGCTCAGCTCGCTAACCGCTTACACTACCGCTCCCCCCCCCCCCCAATACATACACGTACATACAGGCATACACAAACAAATTTTCCACTTAGAGTTGTATAGTATCACAGCTTGTACTTAGTGCATGTTAAGACTGGCACCACTTACAAGGAGGCTGTAGGGATGTCTTTAACTCCCCAGTGCTGGTGTTGGCACACACCAAACTGGACACTAACTTTAAGCCGAGTCAACTTCGGGGAAGCCCATACCAGGGGGCAGGTACAAATAGCCAATAGTACAGCGCCTCGACAGGAATACAATCTGGGTCAATGGGCGCACAGGCTCAGTAAGATGAACGCTAAAAGCACGGCTCCGCACACAAGCACACGCACGCGTGCACTCATCCGCACACGCGACAAACCCAAACACGCACACGCGTGTGTGTGCCTGTGCAATGATGTAGAAGGGCAGACAGGAACAAGCTCCCAGTGAAAAACCAGCAGAGGTGACGGCACGGATAGACGCACACTCGCACCGGTCATGTAGGGAGGCAAGTGGTGACCAGGTAGATTCATGAAAAATAAAACGTCAGGCTGATGTTTAACCAGACAAATAACCGGGCGCTTGGCAGGCAAGAGAGCTTTGTACGAAGGATGACAAAGAGTAAGAGAGAAAGGGAGCACTGTTTTAGCAAGGGGGAAAAAAATCCATACATGTCAGAATGAAATATTTATAACTGCATTATCCCAGGGACTTAATGAACACGTGGCGTTAAGGGGGGCATGGGAAAGTGGCGTGTCAACCGCAGCTCATGTCGAGCAGTTACGGAGGCTTCTTGAGGCTATGCCAATTGATTGTCTGTTGGTATTACAGAAAACGAAATTAAATTGTGTGTTATGCCATAGTCTGCAAAGGCAGCCAACAATTCGACTGCGGAGGTTGCATCGTTTTTGCGGGATCGCATTCGGCAACAGTTTTCTCCGGTGCAAATTCATTGAGAGATGGCAGGCGCATCTCAAGAATGGATGGGGTGCACGATTTGCAAGGAGGCTTCTTCTTCTTCTTACATATTTACAGAAAGGCCTGCACTGTTTGTTGTTGGCCGCTTGGCATTTTTGGCTTCGGGGCATTTGCTCAGCAACTGTGATATAAAAAAAAGTCACTTAAGGAGATAATCAGCTACCCACGAGCACATCAGCGCAGATTTTGAACGTAATAAATTCGTTTTGGGAGTGAGGGTTGGGGGATAAATTGCTCAAATTACACGATATGATAGAACTCATTCCAGTCGTGGCCATTGTCCAGCTGCTCGTATTTTTTCTGTTATCTTTTTTAAGAACGCAAATTTATAATTAAAAAAAGCGCCGCCGTGACCTTGTCCGCGAGGACAGCGGCTGTCTTACGCTCGCGAAGCGGTAAATAAAAGATGCAATTAACTCCAAAAGGTGTTCAATACATCGGCGGGGGGGGGCGGGGGGCCCTAAATGACTGCGTAATCAATGATTACACTAAATAAACAACTAACGAAGCCCCATTTCAATAACGGGCAATTTAAACAAAACAAAAAATTCCGCACGAGGAAGTAGGGTAGTTACAACGATTATGGCACCGCCGGAGGAAAAGATCCGCATTTACCGCAGGACACCTCAACCGGAGGTGTACGCACGTGCGTGAGGCTGGGGAGTGCCCTGATTTCCCTGAGATCCCCAGGAGTCAGCTCCGAGCGCCTAAACCAAGGTCCTCCCCACCCCCCGCCGCCGTCCCCACAACTGTGAAAAATGACTCGGGGCCCGTGACAGCAGAGAATGCATAATGGTTTTTACTTGTTTTTTTTTACTTTATGGCACATTACAACGCTGTTGAGTGAAAAAAAACTTGAGCTAGCGATCACAACACAGCCCTGTATGAGGCAGAGACTGATGATTTTATAGCGTTTGCCGATGTGTGCGGGTTTAAAGCGCACAGACGCGCAAGCAAGTGGGTGCGCTCGCGGGGTTTAAACGCCGAACTAGGTTACTAATTTCGGGCTGAGTCGACCTACGGTAGGCCCAAGACCAGCAAACACCGTCAGCGATGTTAGCTGGTGCTGGGTCCACAGAACAAGATTATCGATGTTGGCGGCGGGCGGGAATCGAACTCGGCCTGCCGGGGAAAGTGTTGCTCATCCACGCCCCTCGTGTGACTTGCGTTAGGTGCTCGCTCACAAGCACTTGCCCCGGCAGTCTGTGAAAGGCTATATGGGGGACCTTTGTCTCTGCGCTCACATGGCGAGTGTGCACGTGCTAGCACGCAATGGACGTGTTAAATAATTATAATTTACAGCCCTTTGCCATTCATTCCACTAATGAAATGGACAAAGTCCTCTCCGCACTTTGTGTTTAGTCGTGGAGAATGTGTGTGATCGTACTTACTACACACTGGTCAGTATGGGTTTGTAAAAGGAGGGTCCCAGGATGGGTTCTGACACCACTCGCCGTCAATGTGAGCTGTGACTGGGGAATCAGACCCAGGTCGGCAGTGTCCATCGCGCGGTGCGCTAATCGTTGCACCACCGCTACACCCCGGGGTGTATGTACGTTGGTAAAAAATATAAACTAAACTATTTTTTTTATTTTACCAGGTAAGGCCCACTGAGCTGTATAGCTCTTTTTCAGAAGTGGCCTGGCCACTAATGATAGCTCGACAAAGTGGCTTATCTTATTCTTAGCTCTTTCGGTAAAGTCACGGTAAAGTCACGTTGAAGGGAAACAACGTGACTTTACCGAAAGAGCTAAGAATATGAATTACTGCAGTCACGAAAGCTTTAAATCAAAATTTAAAGTGGCTTATCATCATCATGTTGAAGTTTAAACTCTGCTGTGCATTTGTTGAGGACACTGTGTACTTTTCGTTGTTGTTGTTAACGGAGCAGAAACTTGCTCACCGTTTGCTGCAGGAACAGAATCCCGATTCTGAAGATGCGCGCACTCTGCGTAGGTCCTCCTCCCCCTCCTCCTCCTCCGGCGGCGACGGCGGCGTCGGTGGCCTCCGAGGTGACGCCGCGGTTCACCGCCCTCTCGTAGAGCTCCGAGAGCTCGTTCACCCTCAACTCCGCGCCCTCCATGCCACTTTTGGGAGGATTCAAAGTCCCCGTTGGGGTGTCCATTCGGTTCAGTTGCGCTTCATTTTATCAGTCCTGTGGAGAGCAAAACGCCCATTTGATAGGCGTAACAACCGGGTGAATTCAAGAAAATATTCACACAATGGCGAGAGACTCAAGACGGGGAAAACTGCGTCGCGTCCGGAAATGAACAACGGCGTTTTATGACACGCGCGATGTGATTTCCAGACAGCAAAAATGTGTGATGTACTTGCGGGCATAGCGACATCATGTCACGCGCAAGGCGTGATGGGAGAATGGATTGTACGGTCACAATTGCGCGTTTCGCTATCCTGCAATCACCTTTCAGCGCGCGGTATCATTGCTGAAGAGGTAAACACCTGCCAACAGCCCTTTTTGATCCCCTGCCCGTCAGATAAAATTACATTTTAAAAAAAAACCTAATCCTTTAATGCTCATTAACCTGTTGCGTACATTTTTCCATCGGAGTTATTTCGAAGGGCGTTAATTACCCGCAGTGGCAAGGTTCAAGTTCGCTCTGGCGACAAGGGCACAATCTGCTACACTCCCCTTTACCGCCACACGCACAAAGTGCAGTTATTTGCAGCGATAGAGAGAGAGAGAGCTATAAAAGGAAAACCGCCACCGTCTTCTATGAAGCACAAACCTCCACATACACAGCAGAGGTTTACAAAGCGCCCAGGTAGATTGGCAGTTCAAATTCCGCAGTCAGTAAACTCGCCGTACACATTCTTGGTTCTTTCGGTAAAGTCACGTAGAAGGGAAACAATAAAATAATAAAAATATAAAACAATAAAATTCTCACGACGTTTCGACTGCAATACAAGCAATCTTCATCAGGTTGTAAAAACCAAAACAAGAAAATTTGAAAAAAGTGGCGGTTTTTTAAGGTTAGCACCACGGAGAGCGATTTGACAGTTTGTTCAGATGGACGAGTCCATCGATGTTCGGAAAAGAGGAGGGGGGAGACGAAAAATAATGGATGCGGTCTGAAAGCCACCTTAAGCGTGACCAATCAATTAAGACCCGAAATGGTTGATCAAATCCTTCCAATGATTGCAAACTGTCAAATCGATATCCGTGGTGCTAACGTTTAAAAAAAAACGCCACTTTTTTCAAATTTCTTGTTGTGGTTTTCACACCTGATGATGATTGCTTGTGTTGCAGTCGAAACGTCGTGAGAATTTTATTGTTTTATATTTTTATTATTTTATTGTTTCCCTTCTACGTGACTTTACCGAAAGAACCAAGAATATGAATCCCTGCAGTCACGAAAGCTTTAAATCAAAATTTCAGCGCATTGGGTGTTTGAGCTGGTCAGCTGCCCCTGGTTAATACCGTGGGGGTCTTATTAACTGGAAAATATATAAATACACGCGCTGCCTGCTTCACAAAGGACGGTACAAAAAGATCCCGTGATGTTATCCGCAAAAGTGCGGAGGGCCGGCTACGTGCATCGTGTTGGGAGTCACGGTTTATAATTCGCCTGCATTTGAATATCATCTGTTGCAGCAAATATTCCTTTTACCAAAAACGATTTGCATTTCTTTGGCAATTTAAATGCCGCTGCATTTTGAAAGCGCCTTACATGAACGAGGAAAATATTAAATCACCGAGATCAAAAAGTCAGGAAAAAGACAGAAGGGGTGGGGGGGGGAAGAAATCAACAAAACAGAAGATCAGTGAAGGACATCACAGACACAGAGACAATGACTGGCACACATACACTGGGACAACAGCCACTGCCAATCTGAACACAGATATCTTCTTGCATATAATTTGCACATGTATGTCACCAGTGTACAATAAACCTGCTCTTGGTAATGGCATCAAAAGAATCGCAAATCCGACTACAAGAGACTCAACTTTATACATACATCGTATATTAAAATAATAGGTTTTTTTTTACAGCGTTATCAGTCCACTGCTGGATGAAAGCCACTGCTGGATGGCCAGGGAGTTGTTTCAGCATACTTCACCACATTTGTCAGGGTGGGTTAGTGAAGTGGGGTGGGCAGGAGACACCGAGGGCTGGTTCAGATACCAATCGTCGTTGATGTTTGACTCGGGTTGTTGGGTTTCAAAGTGCGGTGCACTAACTGCTGCCCCACTGCCCCCTCCCATTGTATGTAATATATATTCACATATATGCAACTTACATGTATAACTTCATACTTTATCTCAAAGACTATATCTCAGCTTTCTCATTCTGTATTTTCACTTACTTTTAAAAAAAACTTTACGCACCGTTCATTACGACAATTTCGATTCAGAAATGGTACACGTGTACGTTATATTTCCCCCTTACGGCTCTTTGGGGGGAAAGTGCAGCTGGATATGCGCGGATATCCCACCGGTGCCACTGCCAGCCAGGCAAAGCCACGGTCAGACGTGCCTGAGCAACCTGCATCCTCTGAGTCAATGACTTGCAAACCCGTCAACTGAAATTAACCAGGGCAAAGGCCATAACGCAGGAATGTCAAGAGAAACTTAGGAAGTAGAGTCCTGTATTCCCATCTGTACATATGTATGTGTACATTATTTGTGGATTGGTAAGGCAGCAATTAGCGCACTGTGTTACAAACCCAACAAACCTGAGTTCATTCCCGCCTATGGCTAGGTGTTATCTGAACTGAATCCTGGATCACTCCTAAGTCAACTCAGCCAAAAGCTGAAACAAACCGAACCTATACCTCCACATATTAAAATAATTATTAACACGAGCTGTTGATGTATCACCGTTACAGGATTGTTAGCCGTAATGTCGCTGGAATAGTTATCGCCTTGCATGAACCAGGCCAAAAGCTCAAAAGATGCGTACGTGCACCTTCGCCGTAGTAGGTGCTGCAATTTGCATAAATATTACCACGAAAAAACACTCTGCCACTAATTAAGTGAAAAATTGAACAGCTTCTCCAAAATTGTGGCTCGGAAAATGGAATATCCTGGTCAGGTAATGGCAAATGGTTACTTCGCTTGCAAAAGCACGGCCCCCGGAGAGACTACGCACTGAGCTTTCATCGCAGTTGTTCACCGCATTAGAAGTGCACCGCTCAACCTCATCAGAGGCTGCTAATCACAGGGAAGGTGATGGGAAGCTTGAAGCTGGCACATTCTCAGCAGGTAGCACGTTCACAAATGCATCGCCTGTTTCGATGAGTGTGCGATGAGCAAGTTTTCTCATCACTTCTTAATCTTGGAAGCGAAATTGAAGGTGCAAAGAGTTCAAACTTCGACGAAAACCGATACACGTTCGTTCAAGGGGTAGGATGCTGCACGTATTAAATCGATTAATATTGAGTCTTGAGCTCACGATAATGCATCGAACAGCCAGCTCGTAAGAAGCAATGTGTTTTTGCTTATCCATAAGAGGTTTTTGCGTTAGATCGCGTAAATATATAAATGTGTCGTTAAACTCGTCGGAACCCGACACAGCCAACGAGTAAGGTTTGTCACGTAAAACAAAACGTGCCAATTCGTTACTAGTACAGCAACACCGGTGTGTTGGAGAATAAACCCACAACATTTACAATTCGAGTACGACCGTTTCGCCAGTGATTACAACCAGCATCATCAGGCAATAGCCACCTTTGTGGATAAATCCTCCTCTTTCGGTCTTAAATAGAGGGATGGATGTGATGTCGTCACTTGTGAGCCAATCAGGTGCGAAGTCCAGGGGGCGGGGTTAATGTATGCCTATAGACTACAATGGATATCCTTACCGGTTGGGTTATTCATAGGGTAATCAGCGTACATAATGCATGAGCATGATGTATGCACGCTATGAATGAACATCCTGCCGTTTGTGGGTGCAATCGAACTAAAAAGCCTCTATTATGGATAATATTGGTCGCAAAAGTCCATGTGTTCCGATTGTTTTTGTTTGTAAATATCTAACCTAACCACCCCCACCCCCCCCCCCCCCGATATTATGGATGATATTGGTCGCGAAAGCCGACGTGTTAAACATGTTGTATCGCATATTATTAGCTCTTTGGGTAAAGTCACGTTGAAGGGAAACAATAAATTTATAAAATATATATAAAACAATAAAAATTCTCACGACGTTTCGATCATAACACAAACGGTCATCATCAGGTGTGTTATGGTCGAAGCGTCGTGAGAATTGTTTTATTGTTATATATATTTTATTATTTTATTGTTTCCCTTCAACGTGACTTTACCGAAAGAGCTAAGAATATGAATTACTGCAGTCACGAAAGCTTTAAATCAAAATGTTGTATCGCGTTCACGTCACCCCCCTGCGGCCGCTAGGGACGCTATCATTCGCCACAATGTAAACGTTTTTAAAAAAAACATTGTTAGTCTCTGATTCACCGAATCGCCAGGAACGGAGTGGTGTGTGTGGGGGGAAGGTGAATCACTCGACCCGTAAACGCATTCCACGTCGCGACCCCGCAGGGGAACTTACTCGGCCATTCTAATAATAAACATCGGGTGTCACTTTGAAATTAATTATCTGCAGTTTTAGAAAATATGGCTTATTTTGCAGACCGAGTCAACGGCTTGACACGTGCGTGAAATTGCCATCCCCGTCCCGGTGTCGTGATGTTCTAACCATTTCTGCACTAGCAAGAGCGGTGGCCGAGTTATTAAAATTTGAATTCGAGAGCCAAATGTTCAAGTTAAAAAAATAATTCACTTCACGATGGAACTAATGATGATGACCTTGCGTTTTTAAAGTGGATCAAATGTACGTCTGAAATCGTAGAAGTGTCCGAATGCAAAATTGGTTATCACAACCTTTCAATGTCAACTATATAGGTATCTTTCGCAAAACACCATAATAAGCGTATTTATCCCCCATACGTCTCTTCGCATGCTCTCTCTCTCTCTGCTTTACGTAGGCCTCGGGGTTCCCGGACTTGCAGCACTCCCCCACTGCTGGCGATCACCATCGCCATATTCCATCTGCTGCTGATGTGACCAAGTCATCCTTCTGTTCTCATGCTTGCACTCCATCAGTCCACCTTTTTCAAGGTTGTCCACTGCCCCTGGTTTCCTTACAATCGCGTTGCCTATGCTTTTGGCAC